AAGGCTAGAGAAGCAAACTGGTAACTGTAAGGTCACCGTTCAATCCCCAGACTGGAGCTTGCCTAACGTTCACTGATGCCCTTAACCCCCGCCGGCTCCAGTGGAGCTGCTCGCCGCTCACGGGTCACAGGTCAGGCTGTGGTTGTACTGGGCAGCTTCAAAGTGTGAATGTGGATAGGATGTTACTAAAAAAGAGAGGTGGTCTCTCAGGAAATTTACCCTCAATAAATACAGGTAAGGAAAAAGGATTACCTTTTTTGGCAAAAAAACTAGTTGATGGATTGTCAGTTTTTGTTTTTGTGTTTTTATAGCGATTTAGTGATGTCTCGACTTTTCCTGTATCAGTACCATGAGCCTGATGTGTGTGGTTCACAGTGAAAATGTCTCGATGGACAGACATGGAGTTCAGTGCAGACATTCATGTTCCCACGCTTGGTGATCCTGGTTCTCATCTAGTGCCGTCAAAGTTGTTTTGTTAAAGTCTCCTTCCATTCAGAAATGTGTTTTGCTCATACTTCATTTGGATGGTTGAGCTTCACTGTGCAGACTGCTGTTTGTAACATCACATCATGTGGCCCAAGATGCAAGTGTGATGTGGAAACCTGCAGGCGCCGGTGCAGATTCCCTGAGAAGGGCTTTTCAGTGAAGCAGGCAGCGTTCTGTGCTCAGTGGTTAAACGTCTGACACAGGTGCTTGCATAGTTATAGGTTCCACTAACATGATAAACTACAATGCTGAACATGTTCGACAGTTAGCCCAGAGTCTTGGGCTTGTGTCAGGATTTTTCTGGACTGTTCTTGAGTGATAAGAGTTTAAGATTTTTCAGGTTGCATATGATTTTATACACAATGCACAGATGGTTCCTGAATGGACCTGCTTTTTTTCTGCAGAGACTAATAAAGTTTCATGTCCTGCCTCCTGCACAGCCACTCCTATAGGCCATTCTATAAGTAAAAATATGTTCTTTCTCAACCTGCCCAGTCAAATAACCCTTAATGCATTAATGAAGACAAATGGATCTATGTGTGTGAGCTCCTCTCGGAATCCACTGTGTTTGGTTTGGTCTCCAGGCGATGAGATCATGTTTGAAGGCAGCTTAGACGGAAACAAAAAAATATCTGAGACTGAGCCTTGTTTGTTCACCTGTGTTGTGTTGTGCCTTTTGGGTACGACAATCGCTGCAGTGTCTGTCTGAGAGCTGAAGATTTTCTGTAAGCCAGACTAATTACCATGAAAGACCTCCATTGGAGGCTCCGATCACATGTTTAGCCACAGTGTGGTGATGCATGTTTAGTTCTGGCAAAAATTCATGAACACAAACTGGTTTTATGTCACTGCTGTTTTAGAGCTTGTGCTTTAATTTTCACTTATACCACTTTCCTGCGATCTAGTCAAACAAGAAGTCCAAGTTTCAGAAGTGATGTTAAGTATGTTGGTTGTTTTCTTATCAGGGCTTTATAAATAACAAGAGGCCCAGCCAACAGATTTGTACAGCTCACAGTGATGACTTCTGACATCAGCCCCTGAAATAAACCTCAGAGCACTGTGATACACCACACTGAATGACTTAAGTGTAGATGGATGAGTGTGCATGTAAATAGAAATCACCATAATCAAGAACTGATAGAAAAGTTAATTTTACCAGTTGTTGCATCACTGAACAAGAAGAGCATGATGTGTGAAGCACTGCAAACAACAGCTGGCTGCATTCGCTGAGTGAGTCACGACATGTCTGTACACTGTCCAGGCAACTCTGGTCTCTTGCTGTGAATACTGTCCTCTACTAGAGGGTAAAGCTGGCTCTGCCGACTCGTCTGAGCTCTCGCTTTTGTTTGCTGAATCGCCTCTGCTTAAATGAAGCCATAGGACTCGACTGAACAGTTTGGTGATTCTGCTTTGTTTAAAGTAAATTTGTGAGAAGACTTTCAGTTTCTGCCCTGCCTAGGCTCATACTTGACCCAGCTGGTATCAACAGTCCACATCTGTATGGGGAGTGAGATAACCCAGCAGCAGAAACACCAGTTTGATGGTGTTAAATGGGAGACTTGTCTAGTTGTTGAGACAAGGACAGCTGCAGCAGAAATGTCATCACAATTCCATTCACGCTGTTTGATGGACAGGTGATCGGTGGGAAATGTAGGAGAGGAACTGTATTCCAGAGAAAGCAACTGTGACAGAAAAAGAAATAGATCTGGAAATCTGTGTGATATAATAAACCTACAGCCAACAGGAGCGTAAGGTTAAATCTACAGCTCTTGGACAATAGATGAAGCAAACATTTCTGTGAGTCATGTGCAAAAATAGCCACTTCTTTTTGCAAACTAAAGCTGCGTCCAAGAAGAGAGGTGGTTGTGGCTGGTGCAGCTAACAGCAGGACAGGCCTGATTAGTGAGACACTCGGGAGTGCTGGCTCTGCATTCCCAGCTGCCTCTGTCCCAAACGCACTGTGAACAGTGCATCAGCAAGCCCCCAAACCCCACCCACCCAGAATCACCCTCCAGAGAGGTGACGCACATCCACTGTCCTCCAGACCTGGGCGGCGGCTAGCGGCATGGCAGTGGGGGCAGCATGCTCCGACTGTTCAAGTGCTCTTGAGCAAGAGCCTGTGATCTTGCAGCCAGTGAAATTATGGGTTTTACGGTGCGTCAGGATTCTTAAAAACTAACTACGTTAGTAACTGAGCGTAAGCTTATTTGTGTTCTTTAGTGTGCATAAAACAGCAAGAACACTCAGCAGTGTCACTACACACTTAACTTTTACAAAATAAACATTGTTTCATGAGTAGTTTATCTAGTTTTGTTGATTTGTATCAAAATATATGGCATTTTATTACAAAGGCCTATAATAGCATTTGGCTCCTAAGACTTTCCAAACGACCACCTGGACAAATTCCTTGACGGAACAACTGAAATGCTCGATTTTAGCGCTTTCTTCATCAGACTTTGACTAGACCAAGATGATAACCCCTTGCTAGTAAAATGTACTGTATGTGCTCAGGTTTTGTCTCTTTCAGTGCAACTGATCCTGAAATGAACCTTGATTTTAGCAGATGCTTCTACAGTGGTTACTTAAAACCATTTTACATTGACATTGACCCAGAGCAGGATGCAGAACCTCTTTTTTAAAATGTATTTATTTATTTATTACGTATTTGAATCTGATTCCTGTCCCTCACGTATGTATCGTGAACCAGTGACCTTTTCAGACCACATTGCTAATCATCTTCAATATTCACTCGTCTCATCTCCAGACCTGACAGCTTTATTGTCTATTACACTGACAACACATGGGACTCCGCCTCTGGCACAACAGCATTGCAGTAAAAATAGATTTAAAAAAGCAGGGACTGATAGATTTACACTCCATGGCATAAATATCATTAGATCCGTACAACCCACCAGACACCATATGAGCCAACAGGTGTCGTCTGTATTGTTCAGATCATTCACTCGCCCACATTGTCCCCTGCTTACATATCCACGTTGAAGAGCTTGGGTGTGCAGAACCAAATAGAAATCGATTTTAAATACAGCAAACAGCAGATTACAGGCCTTACCAGATTCAGTTTATTACCTTAAAATCGTTTCTTTGCCAAATGGAATAGAATTAAGTTCAATTTCACTTCTAAAAATAATTCTGCAATGGTGCCAAACATTAACCTGTGGGATTTCTCAGCCTTCCTGGCAGTAGTAACAACTAAAACATAAATAATCCTCACCAGTCTCTGCTCTGCCTGCCTCTGTTGATCAGTTTAAATCATGATAAGCTTGATTCTTTTATCACAGGAATCAGCCTGTATTATTCTTAGGAAGTCAGTTGTACCAGATCTGATATTTGTCTTCATGGTTTCCTTGTTCTCATCACCCTGGGAATCTGGAGAGAGTAAATACTAGACAAAGCTGGGCCCGGTAGCTTGGCAGCCAGTTTCATCTGAATACTACCACCTGCTAACTGTTTAGCCCCACAGTAGTTACATCAGACGATTACCATTCTCTAACCTAGCACACCTGTAAAGCTACCTGAATCCTATCATCAGCCAAACAGAGTGTGAGTCGTGGCCCCTGACGTGTCTCACCAACTATAGCAGCATAGTATTAAGTTATGCAAATCTACATGGTCATCACTTGGCAGCTTCTCAGTGACTGGTGTTCTGTTGAGCCCACGACACCAACAATGTGTCCCACAAAGTCGCATAAAATAAAATCCAGAGCACCAGAGATAAAGCAAGATTGGTCCATTCTCATCCACTCAGTTGTTTCTAATAAGTGACTGCAGTTTGCCACCAAGGTTGCAGGTTAAACCTTCAGTACCTGGTGTGGAACAGTACGACCAGTTCCAATTGGCTCAAATACAGATCAATTAAAGCAGGACAGTTAGCCCCATCTGGTCGAAGCTTTATACCCACACAAGAGTTGAAACAATTGGTTTTGGTCGACACACGGGCAGTGAAGATGCTGAGGAGTTCATTATGCTTCAGGATCAGTTTCTTTAGATGTTCATTCATTCACTGTGACTTGAGTCTTATTGAAATTCCTCCCATAATGAAAAGTTCCAAAACCTTCTTTCAAGCTTATAGTGAATATTTGATGCTGGCAAGAAATGTTTTTGGAGTATTCCTTAAAATCTTAAAGACGTCTGTGGCTGTAGTAGATGAGCCATTCAGACGAAGAGGCCATGCCAGGCAAGGTCAGGAGCCTTGAAGGAGTGTGTAATCTAATCTGCGTCAGGGTGGAAGGGATGTTATGCCAGTCAGCCACTCTCTTATTAGGTCTTAGGAACCAGATGTTTATGTATGTTTGTTCCTTCACCTGTGCTCCACACATGAAGAGAGCAACTCACTGCCTGTTTAGCTGCAGACCGAGCTGAACACCAAGTAATGCTCGGATCCACAAAAGGCCCAATATGCCATAAACAATACCTGAACACAGCCACCTATGCAGGTGAAAAGAAGCAGGTAGTGTGTTTGGCAGCTGCATAGTAACTGTCTCTGTTTCTCTTAGTTGCAGTTCACTGCTCCTGTTGTTCTCCTGCTGGTTGCTGCTGGTTGTCAGGCCTCCAGGCTGCGGGTGAACGCAGGTCATCGGTGTGGGGCAACACTCGGCTGGGCCTCCTGCTGAGTAGCTGGTTAGCTGCTACAGCGAGCGTGTTGGCACTTGACTTCACGTGTCAGTTGCTCGGCCTGGTCGTTTCGACTCCGTATCACTGGTATGTACCTCCATAACAAAGTTTCTGTTTTCCCAACTTCCTTCCTAAAATCTTATTTCCCAAACACATGAGGGCAGGTTGCCAGGTAGAACTCTCTTGAGGTAAATATAACTTCTAAGTACTTAGTCACAGTTTATTTCATGACAGCAGAGATATTGGTACAACAGCGGAGCAGGAACAAGTGGGACTACAGGTGCTGGTCATAAAATTAGAATATCATCAAAAAGTTGATTTATTTCATTAATTCCATTCAAAAAGTGAAACTTGTATATTATATCCATTCATTACACACAGACTGATATATTTCAAATGTTTATTTCTTTTAATTGTGATGATTATAACTGACAACCAATGAAAACCCCAAATTCGGTATCTCAGAAAATTAGAATATTACTGAATACCAATACAAAGAAAGGATTTTTAGAAATCTTGGCCAACTGAAAAGTATGAACATGAAAAGTATGAGCATGTACAGCACTCAATACTTAGTTGGGGCTCCTTTTGCCTGAATTACTGCAGCAATGCGGCGTGGCATGGAGTCGATCAGTCTGTGGCACTGCTCAGGTGTTACGAGAGCCCAGGTTGCTCTGATAGTGGCCTTCAGCTCTTCTGCATTGTTGGGTCTAGCATATCACATCTTCCTCTTCACAATACCACATAGAAAATCTATGGGGTTAAGGTCAGGCG